TAAGTCATCCTCACTTCCCTGGAGAAGGATGTCATGCTTGGTTGGGTGGAGGGTCAATGAAAGAGGGGGAGGCCTTCAACAAGATGGATTGACATGGTGGCTGCGATGATGGGCTCAAGTATAGCAGGGATTGTGGGGCTGGTGCGGGATTGGGCAGTGTTTCGTTCTGCTGTGCATTGGGTTGCTATGAGTCGGAAACGACTCAACGGCACTTAACAACAACAACAACAACGTGAAAATTCAGCATTGTCAATACTCTGCCATCTCCTTTCTCTGCCCCTAGGTTCCCATTCAGCCGCCCAGAACTGCTGAAGAAATGGGTGCTGAACATCGGCCGGGGCAACTTCAAGCCCAAGCAGCACACCGTCATCTGCTCCGAGCACTTCCGACCTGAGTGCTTCAGTGCCTTTGGAAACCGCAAAAACCTAAAGCACAATGCTGTGCCCACAGTGTTTGCCTTCCAAGACTCCGTGCAGGTAGGGACCCCCACTGCTGTTCATCTCAGAGCCAGCGTGCATGGATTCACCCAGCATTTGGGGGTGGGGAGGAGGAAGACAGGCATTTTCAAGGAAAGTGAAGGCCAGGAACATCAGTGAGAGCAGCATTAGCTAAGCTCTGGGACTCTCAACCTCGCTGGTGATGCCTTTGCTTTAAGGGAAGTCGTAATAAAGCCACTTTTTGAATGAATCATGCCTTACAACAGGCTCCTGCTGCAGAAGCTGGCTGGCCAGTGCTCTAAGAACTTAGTCTTTGAAGCTTTTACTTTTGCTGGGTCTCCTAGAGGCTCAAGGCCATGCAATGAAGACTCTGTTGCTCCTTAGAAGTGAGGATGGTGAGACTTCATCTCACATACTTTGGACGTGTTATTAGGTGGGATCAGTCTTTGGAGAAGGACATCATTCTTCGTAAAGGAGAGGTCAGTAGAAAAAGAGGAAAACCCCTCAATGAGATGGATTGACACAGTGGCTGCAACAATTGGCTCAGCATAGCAAGGATTGTGAGGGTGGTGCAGGATAGGGCAATGCTTCATTTTGTTGTTTTTAGGGTCACTATGAGTTGGAACTGACTCGATGATCTAACAACAACAATACTCACCAATGAGCACTTCTTAAAACATATTTAGGCAACGATTGAGCATTAAAATGCTTTTTAAGTACACCTTAGGAAGCACATACTATGGCAATGAGTGGAGTCCTAGAATCGTACACTCAGATTATAGATACTTTAGAAAATATTGCTGAAGACCAGACACAAAAAGGAGATATCAAAAGAGAAGCTGAAAACATCACCAACAAAGTGCAAACTGTAGAATATGTATACATGTTGGTTATGTAGAATAATACATTGTAGCATTTTCATTGTATGAGTCAAGCTTTCCACTCTAAGATTCATAAATAAATTTAAAGATATGCACAGATCTCTACCAGTTATCAACAGGGTATTTAAATAATTTCAGAGAATATTTTGAAAAAATTGAGAACACAACAAAACAAATACTGCCCAATAGTGATTATCAAGCGGTTCACTGTTGCAGAAGCATTAGAAAGATACAGGTACATGACATACATGCTCCAGAAGTAGCACTGGGTGCCAGAGGTCAGCTTCACATAACCACATACTACACCATCATCCGTACCCTTGAATCATGTATGAAAAGAAGGGCAAAAGTGTGTGAAGTTATTTCAAATAGATTTTCCTTCTTAAACAATGTGGAAATGAAATAACTGATGAAAAATGCATGAAGGCATCCAAGAAATTAGTGCAGGCTTATCTGGATGACTTAGATATAAACCTTTATGGAGAAGTGCAACAGTTTCATTCTTACATGAGAACTGAGTTTACAGATTCAGGAAACAGATTTTACTCATGTAGGTTTGATTGCATAATGGAAGATAAAATACAATGCATATTTCCCAATGCTGAAATGGCTTTACACATATTCCTAACTTTAATAATCACAAACCAAACTACAGAATGCTCATTTTCATCCCTTAAGAGACTCAGAAACCCTCAGCGTACAACAATAATTCAAGAAAGACTTGATTCATTATCTTTATTCTTTATGGAATTGGATACTGTTCAACAGCTTAATTGTGACAAAATCATTGAAGAATTTCTAAGAGCAAAGAATAGAAAGAAATGTTTTTAATTATAACATGTTAGAGATACAAATCTATCTAATAATAAAATAATTTGTTGTAATATTTGTTTTCTGTTCATTAAATTTCTTTTATGATATCTTTTAATTTGTTCATTTATAATTGTAGCATTTATTATGAAATAAGCATCAAAACTGAAGTCATGAGCAGGTTAAAGCAAAATTGGTGAAAATCAATTTTTTGTTGTAGGAAATTAACAGAATTTTATATTGATTTTTGAAATGGCTAAGTTCACTGACTCATTTTCTCTGTTATAGAATATGTGGAATATTTTTGTAGAAAATGTGGTATATAGTAAAAATCTTAGTACTTTGCATCCACTGAAAATTTTATAATCCATTTCATCTCATTCTGCAAAAGTGGCATATGCCACTTTTGCATTCAATTACATCAAGGATAGCCCATTCAAATGCATGAGTAAGCAGAGGAGGGGGCACCACAGATTCTTAGTGTTTTGGAGCTCTGGCAGGGTAGTGGTTACGGCATTTTGCTGGTAATGAAAAGATCAGTGTTTCAAACTCATCAGCTGGTCCGAGGAAGAAAGATGAGGCAGTCTGCTTCCATAAAGATTTACAGCCTTGGAAACCCATTGGGAGTTGCTGTGAGTCAGAATTGACTCAATGGCAATGAGTTGGTTTTTTGTTTTTTTGAGGGCCTTCGTATGCCTTAATTCAGCCCTTGGTGGGAAGGTGGTTTGGAGTCCACTGAGTGTCCCAGGGGAGGGCAGCCCTTGGTAGTCTGAGCAGCAGGTGGGCTGCAGGGAGGAGGAGTGAGTGCAGCAGGAGGGCAGGCCTGGAAGATCTGCGGGTGGGTGGTGGTGGGAGAAGGAAAGCAGAGCTCGGTGAGCACCTGGATGTGTGGTTTCCTCGTTCCTGAGACAGGCAGCACCGAGGCATCTGAGCTTCACACGGAGGTAGAAATGTCATGGAGGGGCGTGATGTGTTGGTCGGGCTCAGGAGAGAGATGATGAGCACCTGGAAGTGAAGTCAGGGGAGTGGGTTATATTGAATTTCATGAATCATAAAGGCACATCATACGCCATAATGCAGGCCCATAGGTGGTGTCCCCACTTGGAGCTTGAAGGAAAAGCAGTAGGGGGACAAACAGCAGGGTGTATGCTACCAGTTGCCCTTGACTTGACTCTCTGACTCAGGACGACCCCATGTGTGTCAGAGTGGAACTGTGCTCCACAGGGTTTTTAAACGGCTGATTTTTCAGAAGTAGATTGCCGGGCCTTTTTTCCAAGGCACCTCAGGGTGGCCTTGAACCTCCAACCTTCCATTAGCAGTGAGCATGTTCACATTCCTTTCACCCAGGGACTCTATACTTAGGCTAGTTTGATCATCTTGGGAGCTGTGAGTACAAGAGGGGAAAGCATGAATGACAGGCTGCCATTTTGGCAGCAGACATGCCCAGAATGCCTGGCCTTGAGCCTCAGCATTTGCTCTCCCCTTTCCCTGGATGACCTACCCCCACATGTGCACGTGCCTACCGCCTCACCTTACTCACATCTGTTCACAGCTGCTTTAAGGCTGCCCTGACCACCTTGTTCCTACTCACCCATTGGCCCTTCCTATCCTTTTCCTCCTCACCTGTCTTCCTAGATAGAACGTAAGCCCTATGAGGGCAGGGGCTTTGGTTGGTTCCTTGCTTTATTCCCAATACCCAGAACACTGGCTGACACAAAGTAGGTGGTCAATACTTGTTTGGTAGCAAATAACCACTTTCCAACATTTATGGTAAAGTTTTTAGCTACAAAATAAGGATTTGAGTTACATGTCTTAGGGAGATTATAGTTTACCGACTTGGGGGAGGGGGAAACAGTTGTAATTCATACTTCTTAGTTCTTTCAGTGAGGAGCCTTGGTTACACAACAGTGAGGTACCTGGCTGCTAACCAAATGGTTGGTGGTTGGAACCTCCCCCAGCAGCTCTGTGGGAGAAAGACTTGGCAATCTATTCCTGTAAAGATTATAGCCTAGAAAACCCTATGGGGCAGTCCTTTTCTGTCATACAAGGTTGCTTTGAGTTGAAATTTGACTCAGTGGCACCTAACAACAACAGTGCTTTCCATGCCAAGGTGGTGTGAGAGTTGGGTGTAGCCTCACTGGTCTTGGGCAGACTCTGCTCTGGGGATATGGCCATCTGGCTGTTCTGGGGACTGCTGATTCTAAGTTGGTGGCGTGTGAGGTAGTGAGGTACATTTTCTGCTATGTGATGGTTACTCATTAAATACATTTACTGAGTCACTTACTATGTGCCTGGAGGAATGCCAGGTCCCGGTGTAACACACATGAATTACATAGGGCCTGGCTTCAGAGGACCTACTCATGAGCCTGTGGCCCAAGACACGGGAACATCTTTGGGGGAAAAAGCAGAACCCAAGAGGGCAGGGAGAGGCAGAGCTTCGGGTCATAGTTCATAACCATTTCTCGCTGTATCAGGCCTGAGCTGAGCCGAGTAGTGGAGTGAAGACAAAGGAGGCCCAAGCCCTGGCTATAGGGGTTCTCAGGGTGTAGTGCCCTTAGTGCCCCCCCCCCCCCACTGCTCCCTGGTGTCTGTAACTTTTGCAGCTGGTTAAGGAGGACACAGACCTGGGCAGAGTGAGAGGAAATGCCAGCTCTAAGAAAAGGTGCGTCTGCTCGTCTGCTCCAAGCTGTCACTGTCACTGGAGCGTCTGAGCAGTGTTGCTCTGTGCGGAGGAGACGGGTGGCATTAAACTCGGGGGGCGGACCCCTACCTCCCGGGAAAAGGGAAGGCAAGCTGCTCATTTGTGCTTTCTGGCGCTGTCAGTCTCAGCTGGCTTCAGGTGTGGGTTGTGCTTTGTTTCTTAAGGTCTGTCTCTCGAGTCTGTGGTAGGAAGTGGCTGGTGGTTTGTGTCACCGCACAAACTATGTGGCTGGTCCCCAGTCATTGCTACTCCCTAAGACAGGGCGACTGGTGCCTAGGACGATGAGTTCCAGCTTTGGAGGCTCTGGTGTTTGTAGCAGCTGAGCCTGACTCTGCCTTGTTCCTCAGGTCCTGCCCGTGGCGGGGGTGGATGGCACAGGAAAAAGCAAGGACGTGGCAGAACTTCAGTTGTCCCCAAGAGCCGAAGCCTCTGGGAAAGAGGTAAGACACTGGGCCTGCCTCGTAGGTCTGGTAAGAAGGCAGCATGCAGTGGGTGGGTCTCAGCCAGGAGATGATTTGCTTCCCGCAAACCATGGGTCTGCACAGAGGCTCCCCTCAGCGGTGGGCTACAAGAAGCGTGGTGTGAACCTTGGTGTGCACATCAGTTACACCTTCCCAGCAAAGAGCCAGCTGTGCAACCACGACGGGGCCACAGCTGCCTTGAATCTCAGGAGAGCCTTGGAAAATAAATTGTACAACCAGGTGTTGATGAGCTGGCCTCCCCCAGGGACCCCACCACCCCTTCCATGCTGGCAAAAACAGCATTGCCACAGTGTGCCAGGACCAGAGCACCCCGATTTTCTGCCTCTGTCCTCAGGTCTTGCCATATAGGCCGGAAGCAGCGGAGACCCCTGGTCAGCTGGCCAGCCCCTCGGGGATGAAGCAGCCCTCAGATCACAGTTATGCTCTTTTGGACTTGGATGCCCTGAAAAAAAAACTCTTCCTCACGCTGAAGGAAAATGAAAAGCTTCGGAGACGCTTGAGAGCACAGAGGCTGGAGATGCGGAGGATGGGCCGCCTCCTCAGCACTTGCACAGAGTCACAGAGAGGGGCGGCAGGGACCCCAAGCTGCGCGCGGCCCAAGCAGCAGAGCTGAGCGCAGCCAGAGCACCCTTGGTCTCGTGGTGGTTGGTGACATTTCTGTCAGCTGCCAACACTTGGAAAGTGACAATGAGAGGACGGCAAACCTGGTGACGTGTTTAGAGGAGCCATCAGGCAAAAGGGAGGGAACCATGAGTGTGACAAGTCAGTCATGTGGTGACATGCATTCACTGTTGAAGCAGGCTTATTTATGGTCATACTTTCCACACAAGCTGGGCAGGCAAGGGGGGCACCATAGGCTCGAGGAACCATTCAGAATGTACCCCAGGGAGAAGCTTTCTCCAGAGAATGCACTTCCTGAGGGGTGGTGGCTCCCAGGGCATTCAGGGCCCACAGGACCATTCCTAGTCCCCAAGAGGAAGAGGGGTGAGGGCTGAGCCCATGGCAGTGTGAATGGGGTCAGCTTGGACAGCCAGTGTCCCTACAGTAAGGGGCTCAGACTGGTCCCCTAATCCAAGGAGTAACTCCGCTTCTGGCTTAGTTTGAGCGAACAGCTTAATAGTGTCTTGCTGTACCAGTGTCTCCTCCCTAAATGGGGTTTCCTCCGTTTGAAAAATAACTAAGAACATGAAGATTTTCCTTCCGTACTTCAGGGTGGCTTCGCAGACTCCCCAGGGAAGCAGCTCTGTACAAGCTGTCAAGAGCACACTGAGTATGGTTACCTTGGATTTCCCCCTCCCCCCAAATGTGACTCTTGTTAGTGAGAAAACAAAGATCTAAATGATTTTTAAATCTAAATGATCTAACTTTGGACTCTACTTCTCAGACTAGAAAACGGAACCATAGCTTCAGTTTAAGCCGATGGTTTAAAATGCGGTTCAAACAGATAAAGGGTGAGAATGAGCTGGGTGTGTGTGGGAGCTCACTCCTAAAAAACACACAGATAACAAGTTCCATTCCCAGCTTTCCAGAAAGGTTTATTATGGTGTGAGGGTGCTTTTTGTATAATTGACTTCAAACGAATGAAGAAAATTGGTGCTTGGAAGAACCACCTGCAGTCAAGAGAACACAGGCCTGTTTCCAGAGAGACCCACTTAACACAGTTTATTGTATTGCACAATTCACATTCAGGGCCCAGGTCAGAGAGACTTGTTTGTTTAAATGGAGATTATACAGCCTGGACTGTGTTTAAGAATTAGAGGAAGAAGGTTGTTGGCAATGACTGGTGCCGGTGCCAGGGAAGTGGGCCCTGATTTTAGCCGCAGCTGAAGGAGTACAGCTGGTCAGCCTGCCTGGACCAGCAGTCAGGCCACTGCCCAGCAGCCTTGTGTTCCCATGGCTCAGTCCGTCCAGGAAGCTGGGCTCTCCTAGGAGCACAGGAACCCTGCCGGGTATAGGGGGGGACAGTGCTCCCCCCACCCCCCAGCTCAGAGGGTAGTTTTCACTTCAGGTAACAGAGCTGGCTGAACAGGGGTACCTCAGCTTCTAAAGACTTTTGCATCTGCAGAACAGGTAAGAGAAGAAAGGGTCTTGAGAGCAGAGCCACACCCCAGAAGGCGAGGTGGCGTGTGGGGAACAGCAGTGCCATCTGCTGGGGGCTTGAGCGTGACACAGGCGTGCAGTAGAAGGCAGCCTGGTTGGTCTCCCCCCTCCCTCATACCAGAGCAGCCTTCCTTGTGTTGTTCCTTCTTAGGATTTGGCACAAGTCTGAAGCCCAGGTCTTTAACTCCCCATGAACTAATGCTCTCCCCTTTCCTTGTGAGCCTCTCTCCATTGCAAGCCTGTGCTGTAGGTCTGGGTTGGCACAGGCAGGTCACACGCAGCAGTGTGTGGGGTGGAAGTATAGCTTGCATTGCTGGCCTTGGGGCCTTTCTCCATGATAGGACTTGGGGTGACTCCTAGAAGAGGGAAGGACCCAGGACAGGGGCAGCTGGAATGATTGCTCTGAGAGGCTCTAGGAGTGGGAGGAAGGAGACCAGTTTCCAGACCCAGATGTTCCCAGAGAGGAAGCAGATGATAAACCCAGACTGCTCTCCAGGTTTGCTCAGCAACATTTCAACACAGAGAGACAGTGGTCAGGAAGCTGGCTGAGCAGAGGCTCACTTGATCCTGAAGGCCCCAGTGTGGGCAACTCCTTCCTTCCTTTCCATTCTGTCTGCCATGTTCAATCCGAGTTACAGGAAAAGTAGCTCACAGCCCTAAATGTGAGGGTAGGGAGCTCCATCAACACCTGAGGACAGAACGAGAACTACAGGCAGCAGTCAGCACACGTGCCGAGGAGCCTGGTGGGGACTAGGGGCCATCTGGTGTCCCTCCCGCCAGGAACATGATCCTTAGGACAACAGATATGGGTTGTGCAGCAGTCCTGGTCCAGGTGGGGCTGCCTCGGCTCTTTCTGCAGCACCCATGAGAGCTGGGTTGTCTGCATGTCCCTGCACAGAACTGATACAGTACCACCATCTATAGGAATAATATAAAATAAAACATCTGATGTCTGGGGTTTTTCCCTGCTTCCAAATTTGTAGACTCCCAGGATAAGATTTTTTGCAGCCTCTTTTTAATCTGGTTTCTCAGGCAGTTTATCCATCTGTATCAATCCTGTGTGCTGTAAAAGAAAACACAAACTTGGTGTCAGAAGGCAGCTGTGCCCATTCCTTCTACCTGTGGGGCTCAGCCACTGCAGAGGCCAGAGGCTGCCTGGGTCTTGGCAAGCAGCACACCAGCCGCCAAGAGCCAGTGGGTTCTGGAACACGAGGAGCTTGGCTTTCACACTCAGTCAGCTTCCAAGGGAAGAGCTCACTAATGCAGCCCTGAAGGGGACAAAGCCCCTTCCTCAGTGCATCAGATCATGGCTCTGCGCAAGCTGCAATGCTAGAGCATCAACATCCTTGCTCCTTAAGGGGCAGCAGAGAGGGACACAAGTGGCCAGTGTCCCACATGCTGGGCAGCTGCTCTGATGCAGCTAAGCGCCCCTGCCTGGTCCATGCGGCAAGGTGGGCCTGCAAGGGAGCAGCTACTCACACTGCTTTGGTATCCTCAAGGCCTCACTGTCGAGCGCCATCACCTGATGCAGCACGCCCCGGAACTGGTAGAGTACTTTCAGATTCTTCTCCTCACCCACGCAAGGGTCATAGAACCCAGGCAGCCCAGCCTGGAACATACAGATTGTGATTCTAAGCACTGAGGAGACAGCGATTTAAAATAGCCTGATACTCTGCTTCTGGCTTAAGATGCATCTGGAGGGGGCCTGACTTTTCCCTCTGGAGCTGCTCTTGACAGATGTAAGCTTTAGAGCTTGAAGGAAAATAACATGAGAATTTCAGTAAATTGCATATTTAGCCCTAGACTTCCCTCTCAATACAGGCTCCTTGCCTCAGGCTAAAGACACTGCCATCCTCACAGAAGCCCGGCCAAGACACCAGGGGACTTTCTCAGGGAGGCTGATGCTCCCTGGCCCGAGTGTTAACCTGCTTTTCCATTCATCATTATAGTCCATGCCCAAGCTCCAGCAGTGAGTCACATACATGGGCTCCAACTGATCTCATGTTCCTTCTGAAACCAGGCAAGGAAGACACAGATTGTAAACACCACAAAGGCAAGATGTCTGTTTTGTGTGCTGCCACATCCATAAAAGGCCCAGACATAGTAGCCGATTCACTGACTGAAAGAAATAGTTCCAATGCTGCTATCACTTGGGTCTCAGGCAGCACCTCAGGCAGTGAACAGGCCATGAGAAGGACCCCCTGCAGCAAAGTTGTTAGTTGTTTCAGGGGCCAGTCTGTCCTTATTAGAAGGAATCTGTTCCTCAAACTGCCCGTTTTCCCTTTTCCAGTCTCCTAATCACAAGGCAGGCTGTGGCTGGCACTGCTGTACCTTGGATGCTTCTGTGAGGATGAGTTTGGAGTCCTTCACCAGGCACTGCAGCGGTACAGTCACGTCAATCACCTTGACCTTCTCGTTCTTCCTGCTCTTGTCATTGACAAACTTCCCATACCAGGCATTCACAATGATGAGCCCTGAAGGATGATCTCAGTGAGGGCCAAAGTTGGCCTCCACAGCATGTCTCTTCTCAGCTTGGCTGTAGGAGCCGTGGGCTCCTATGAGACCCTGATCTGGCACCCCCTCCCCTAGTCCCATTCTGAGTGGACCCCTCTTCTCACCCATTCTGGACTCTTCTGCTTCAATTATCCTTCGGACAGATTCCTGCATCAACCGAACCTGCCAAAGAACAAAGATGACCACCATCAGGGCCCTTGCTAGTCCTGCCTCTTCATCCAGCAGGCCAGGGACACAGGGTCTGTATGGTGGACATGGTGACGTATCTGAGGCCCTTTGTCCCTGCTACATACCTGCTCAGGATTCTGTGAGGTAAGGGAACTGGAGGCCAGGAAAGCTCAGCCCTGGAACCAGCTCACTCTGGAACCAAATCCTACAGTAATCAGCTCTGGCAATGGTACAACACCCCCGACCCCCATCTCCCGCACTAGTGAGCCCAGCGTGAGCAATGACAGACAGCAATGACAGCTCCTTTCAAGGGGTCATAAGAGGCAAGCTGGCTTTACAAACCCAGTCAGAAAGTACTGAATACGCTGTCAACACTAAAAATAAAGGAAAGCCCATATGGGAAGTTAGAATCTTATCTTTTTTGCCAAGGGCCTCTTTTCTTAGGCCCCAGCCTGCTAGGCAGAGCTGTGCTTTCCCTCTGATGGGCACAGGCTGTCCAGGCTGCAGGTGTGTTCATGGCATGCTTCAGGTCACCTGCCTGGGTGATGTATGCATCTTTATCTCAGTCCTTCCATCCATGAAAGACTGACAGGTACTCTGCCATTCTCCAGGAGAGCACCATTCCCATAAGACCCGTAAGAGGACAATGCCCACAGCTATGGAAACACCTTGTTATGCTTTCCAAAGGTGTATATAACCATAAGGACAGGGATGGAAGTCCCCAGTCTTGTGGGCCATAAGCAATAGATATCCTAAAATAAACAATGAGGTTATTGAGGAAAGAGTCTGGGACCATGGCCCTTGAAACCAAAGTTTGTGTGAAACCAAACT